TTTGGACTCCTCCAGTGTATAATATTGCTACTACCTACCTACTTCTATCTTTGCAAAATGCCTTAAATAGTAAAGAAACATTGCCCCCCACAATTTATTATTCCTGCTTCTATAAATATAAGAACAATATTTATATGCTTATCATAACATAAATATGGTAGTAACAATTTAATCTTTAAATATTTACTCTGGATATGAAAAAATATAGTCCTGATTCTCATTTACATTATTATTATTAAGTAAAGTGACTATAGGGTATATGTAATCCAAACCCACATTTTACCACTAACTAGTAATTACATGGTACTGAATATTTCTCATGTAATAATTATGTAATCATCATGTTATTCCTTGTATATAAATTTTATTAAGTTGTTTCTCGACACTGCATCAATCTTTATAATAAGCATGTGTACGAGCTTTAGTTTTAAAAAAAAATAATCCTTTTCCTTTTTTTGTTCATGGTAAACGTTCCCTATTACTTGTAACAACACATAATGACTACTTTGGAGCCACTATGGTCTATAGAGAGAGTAATACACATTTTTTAAATGATATAAAATAAATACTTAACAGCAAGACATGAACATGAAATTATTTGGTTGTGATACTTGCTCAAGCACTCCCAGTTTTGTTGTTCTTCTACTAATCATATTGAAAGATCTTAAATTTATGAACTATGGCTAGGAAAAAAAATCATAAAAACAGTTTTCCTTTTCAGATTATTTTAAATTCACTTCCTTTCCAATTAAATAGAATACAGATAGTCTAGTTACTCGTATTGTATTTGGGAACTTTATAACTTAGTTTCCAGAACCTGGAGATACATAGACACAGGTGAAAATAAATTCCCATAGTTTTGTTAGTTTCTTTGTTTTAGATCATTATCTAAAATCATAGAATCATTTAGGTTGGAAAAAACCTTTAAGATCATCAAGCCCAACCGTTAACCTAGCACTGCCAGTCCACCACTAAACCATGTCCTTAAGCACCACGTCTACCCGTCTTTTAAATATCTCCGGGGATGGAGACTCAACCACTTCCCTGGGCAGCCTGTTCCAGTGCCTGACTACCCTTTTGGTGAAGAAGTTTTTCCTAATATCCAACCTAAACTTCCCCTGGTGCAGCTTGAGACCATTTCCGCTTGTCCTATCGCTTGTTATTTGGGAGAAGAGACTGACGCCCACCTCACTACAACCTCCTTTCAGGTAGTTGTAGAGAGCGATAAGGTCTCCCCTCAGCATCCTCTTCTCCAGACCAAACAACCCCAGTTCCCTCACCTGCTCCTCACAGGACTTGTGCTCTAGACACCAGCTTCATTGCCCTTCTTTGGACACGCTCCAGCACCTCAATGTCTTTCCGGTAGTGAGGGACTCAAAACTGAACACAGTATTCGAGGTGCGGCCTCACCAGTGCCGAGTTCAGGGGGACGATCACCTCCCTGGTCCTGCTGGCCACACTACTTCTGATACCGTACCTTTAAAAATACTATAAGAATCTGACCTATGGCTTTGATAATTTTTTTTCTGCAGTGCATTTCCTGATTCAAAATAATACTCAGATGCATTATAGTTATCTCCAAATTGCATTTAAACATAAATTATTATCTGAGATGCTCTTAGGATCAGCACCAAAAACATACTGTTGAAGGGAATTTGAAAATGATACTTTGTGAATGATCTGATCAGAACCAAATTTCTATTACCGTGTGAAGCTGATGTCCTCCCCTTTCCAGCAGGAGAGTTGAATATCTGTATCTTTCAATAGAAGGTTTTGAAGCATCTAAGATCTTTATATTTTCTCCAGAATATTATCATTTGCCACGTTTTTGTTCTATCAATTATGAAAAAAAACCCAACACTAAAAAAATGGATTTAAGAGTGCTCTTCCCCCAAGTTTACCTGTGCTCCAGTGACATTCTTTTGTAGAAAACCTGTCCCCTGGAGGCTAACTTTTAACATGTAACATTCCTGTTAATGATATTTTTATTAAATACCGGTCTCAATCAATGTTCTGAAACATTTCTATCTTAGACAAGAAGAATAAATTCATGGCAAAAAGCCATCTCCCCCGCGTTTCCAAACACATTCCATACAATGTATACAATCTATACAATTCTATTCTATACAATAGAATACATTCTATACAATAGAGGAGTGCCACAGCTTTTTGAAGAAAAAGTAGGTAGAATTTATTAGTGTGGACCTAAGAAAAGCATGTTATTATTGTGCCTCTTCCCAGATATGGCTAGTCTTTATGGCTAAAACAAGTAAGAAGAGAAAGAGGAATGTCTGAATCGATGGTGGTAGATGCCTCATCCTTGGAAACATTCAAGGCCAGGCTGGATGGGGCTCTGAGCAACCTGATCTAGTTGTCGATGTCCCTGCCAATTGCCGGGGGGACGGACTAGATGACCTTTAAAGGTCCCTTCCATCCCAAAGCATTCTGTGATTCTATGATGTCTGCAGATAGGTTCAGCTTATGGGTAGGTGCTCACCATAGGAATTGCCACCCAAGTGGTTGCTGTTGATCAGAGTTTTAACTAAACTGAAACTGGGGTCCTGTGATGGTAAGTATCCGCCAATTTTAGTAATATATCTGGTTGCTCTGCACCCCAAATTCTCAGTCAGTCAGTGAGCTAACCAGCCTGAAGAAGACAATTTGAAAGGGTTATTTCTAAAACAACCAGGTATTGCGGACAAGTGAAAATTAGAATTCCTACCTAGGTGGCCCTGGGATAGATGCAGGCCTGATTAGTTAGCGGCTGCCGGGCCTGCCTCGGCATGGCCGGGAGGAAGGTCTGCCCCACAGGCAGGCGTTGCAGAAAGCACGCGGGGACTCAGGTAGGGGAGGCGAGGGATGGGTGCAGTTGTTACTCAGCAACACAGCTGAAGGGAACGTGTATAGACGGCTTTGTCTATTGTGCTGCCTTTTCAAACTGAGTCAATAATACCAGCGTCGGTTTCAAGCGAAGCGTGTGCCAGATTACAGATAGCTAGCAATGGCATTTGAGAGCTGTTAATTGTGAAACTTGAGAAGAAAATGTGCACATTCTTTTTCAGAGTGCTATTCGAATGATGGCCTTTTTATCCCAGAACACTGTGGGTTTCACTTTTATTCTCTTCCCACATAAAATGCATGAAGTGCGCTGAGTCTCTTTCACTTGGCAGCTTATATATTGCATTCTTTGCAGGGACTGCTTTGGCTTGTTAAAATGTACCCCATGTATTAAAATGAAATTGTCACTGCTGTGTGGTGCAACATAACATGGTTTGACACTAAGCGCCTGCAGCTACAGAAAACAGACTTTTATTGCATTTATTCTTTCAGAGACAAGAGTCTCTAAAGGCTCAGTGCAGACATTCGCTTAGTTAAATCTGAATGAAGCCAAAGTGAACAATCTAAGTTGCTGTCTTTGTGCTTGTAGAAGTGGCCCAGCCCACACGATATGCAGTGATACAACCTGGAAGGAACAATTTTTAATGATTCCACCTGAAACAAATTGACAAAAGACTTTGACTTGCACAGAGAATTAATCAGGCAATCACGATTTTCTTCAAGTAGAATGTTACTACTTTTACTTTACTGCTTAGATCCCAAGTAGAGGAATACATTCTTCATCAGTCTTAGTGTGGCATTTATGTTATTTTAATGTTTCTACTGATGTCTCATCTATAGATCTAGTCCTTCTCTCTCTCTCTCTCTCTCTCTCCCCCCAAAACCTGAGATGTGATTCTCCCCTGAAGGTAAAAAAGACTTCTGATATTTCTAGGCTATGTGTCTTTGAAGATATGTACCCAAACAACAAAGAGAGAGATATAAATTTAAAGCTTAATTTTTATCAGTTTTCCCAGGAAAACTCTTGGAAAAATTCATATGGCTCACTTTTTTTTTTTTTTTTTTTTTTTTTTTTTTTATGAAACCTCTTTCCCAAAACCATGTGACAGGAAGGGTGGTGGAAAAATTCATTTTAAAAAGATCTAGACTGGTGAGAAGTAAGCAATATTTATGTCAGTGGAGTTATTTTGCAGAGAGTACCTGGGGGTAAGCACTGGTGTACTGAAGGAGCATTGAACATGGTTTTTAAACACAATTTTTCTAAGAAAAACAAAAGCAGTATGATTTTTCTTTTTGCTTGCTTATTAGCTTTCCATTTCTCTCTTTCCTCTCTTCAAAGTTTCTATGCCCACTCTGTAGCAAAGTCACCTGTTCTCTGGGCTAGTGTGCAGTCGATTTATAAGACCTTAAAGAACGGTGAATTCCCAGATGGGGTATAACCATGGTTTGGGATTTGACTAGTAGCTTTGTATTCTTTACAGTTCCTTCAATAATATATGTACCAGTTCACTGATAATGCCTTAATGTCTCAATGCTTAAAGTTATCTTGAGGTCATGAGATGAGCAGTAAGGCATTTCATCTACCAGTATTACATGTAAATTACTCTCTTCACACAAAATTTGTCTTTATGTTGTAATAGGCATTGTCTTTGGTTTTGCTGTACAATCTGTCTTTGCAGGTTGTTTTTTTAACATTGTAATCCTTAATAATCGTTGCTTATTCCTCTGGGTTCTTATCCAAATCCTGTTGGGTTTTTTTTTTCATGCCATTTGAAGTTATTTTGGATGCACAAGGAATCTAGAAACCCGTCCTTTGCCTTTCTGAGCAGCACGTGAGAGCATAAAGAATGTCCTTGTTCAGGGTGATCCCTGGAGCCAAAAGAGGACTATTCATTGACACTGCTGCGGCTCACACACAGCCGGGAGCGCAGCTGCAGGCTTTGAGGGTGGCAGGTCCTCCTTGCAAGCCACACCGTACCATAATGAGCTCAACCAGTTTCTCTGCAGAAATCAGCAAGAACAGCTTTGAAGATTTCTCTCAGCATCTGTGCTTGTCCTTTTTTTTCTCCTTTTGCTTTTTGTTTTTGCTGACTGAGCACTTTCATAACAGTCTAGTAACACGTATTGCCTCTTCCCCCATCCCACCCTCTTCTCTTTTCCAGAATGGAGTCTACAGAAAAATGTGAAGTAGTAATTCAACATTTTAATGGCAAATATCTGAAAACCCCGCCCGGTCTACCAGGTAAGTCTAGCCATAATTATGAAATTTAAAATTCACTGAAGAGCTTAGAATATAGAAATGCTGGAATTTATGTTGAGAATGGCTTGTATTACTGGCCCTGCTAAGAGGGTGTATGGCTTTCCTGGTTGAAGCCTATCCTTTATGACCCATAACAACTTCTTCCTTGCCCGAGTTAGTATTATTAAAGCATCTCTGTTTGACAATAGTAAATTCAAGTACGTATAAATATCATGTTGTCTTACTGCATTTTTTTTTCCTTTTTAATGCATATATTATGTGTGTGGGTTTTTTCCAATTAGAGCAAAGGCCACACAAGTAAATGCCAGTGCTTTTCTAACAATGTAGGAATATAACTAGATTAGCAACTGCATTATAGGTTAAAAAATAGCCAGGATTTCATGTTGTAATAGCTTTGTATTCTTTACAGTATTACTAGTTAGTGTTACTAGGTTACTAGTGTTACTAACCGAGGATATTTCAAATATGAAGTGATATTATAGCATTTGTACTTGCCATAACTTAATGGAATCCTGCCATTTTCTGACGGTACCCATAGAATACATTCAGTGGTGTGCCTGTGCCACATCAAAAACCCAGTTCCAGCCAGTATCTTGCTTTTGAAATCCTCAGCTGTCATCTATGTGGTCATCAGCTGTGCAAAGTTTAGTGATCAGTTACCTGATTCTTAGTGCTTGACAAGACCTCCCCAAGGCCACAAATCTGCAAAGATTTCTCCCTCAGATTATTGAAAGAGCTACCTTCAATGAGCAGGAAATCCTTGCAAGAATTGTGTCCTAAGTTATTCTCTTTTTTTTTTTCTTTTTGATTTCCATTAAACTATTTCCTTTTTTGGGTACTTTCATTAAGTTCCTCCTTATTCATTGCCTGGTTCTTTATGCAGAAGATGCACTAAATACTCTAATTAAAAGAGAGCCATCTGCACAGCTACTGTGTACAGTAATTAAATGCTGCAATGTACATATAAATTTTAGTCAGATCACCTTCATGAAAGAGTATAAAACTTTTAGTACAAGCTGGAAGACTCCATTTTATGGACTTCTTTTTCAAAAGTAGTCACAATTTTTCTCAACACCAGCTAATGAAGTACAGCACCAACTTTTTGAAGTACAACAGACTGGGGCTGCATAGAACAATGGGCAAAGCAACATAGGCAGAGACCTTAAACCTTTGGCATGCCTTTCTGTATGCATACATTGAGTCCCAGTAGTAATCTGTTCAATATCGTAGCAACACCCAATGGAAAG